CCCAAAAAAAATACCATTGTCTGAAGTTAATATAAAACTTGATCACAAATCATTTGATTTTTAGTTCTCAAAAGCTTTAAAGAAACCAATAGCTTCATTGTAGTGTTTGGAACTACTAGGAAATTTAAGCTATTACTATTATTTAACTTGTTTAATTTCCCAATGGAACATAACCTTACCTAATCTTATTTCACTTCCATCAGCTCCAAATATAGATAATAAATTTAGTGGATTAAAACCACTTGATACACTGGCTGTTATGCTCTTTATTGTTATTATGATAGCAGGACACTTACTAATGCTATCATATGCGACTTAATCAGATGTGGCCTGATGATTCTTGGTGCATTTGAATTTATGTGTGTCCTTTTTCTGGTGAGCTTGTATGAAATAGGTTGAAGATCCTTTTCGCAACTCCTATTCACCATTCAAATGAAAAACATTTGGTAAATGAACTTCATTTCCGCTGATATTTCTGTTTGATCTATGATTCATCGTATTGTCTGTTCAATTTGAGGTTGAACTGTTTGTTCTTGTCATTGATGTAACTGTTCACGTCATCCTCCTCGTCCTTATTTCGTCTCCTTTTCATTCTACGATTATTTGCTTCTTCGATATTGCGGACTAACCTATTGGTATCTGCGGCACTTGGCTTGCTAGATAGTGGTACGATTTTTGACATCTGCAGCTTATCACCACTTTTACTTCTCTCTGCTGCATTCTTTTGTTGCTCGTAAGTCTCCTTATCTACCTTTAGATTCAGGAGCTCTTTGTTATAAGCTTGTTCTGCCATTTTATTAAAGTTCTGAAACCCAGACTTCTTGTTGTTTCCTTTTTGTTTAGTCTTCTTTTCCCATTTTTCACAGTCTTCAATAGTCCAGTTCCAATTCTGCTTCCTCTCGAAATCTTCACCTTTTTCTATGCTGTCGAGTTTGTCATGTTCTAGTTCAGCATTAAGCTTTTTCTGCTCTATTTTCTTATATTCTATGGATTTTAGCTTTTGTTGTTTGTAGTCCTTGAAAAGTTCTTGTTTATTAAGGTTTTCACTTTCTTGTTTTTTACGTTTTAATTGCTGAAGCTTTGCAAGTCTATCCGATACCGATATTTGCTTATTACCTGCACCTCCATCTTGAAGAGTCTTATTTCGAAGCCCTACATCTCCTATTTCGTCAGATGACATTCTTATATGGGCTAATCTGAATCTAAATAAGTAAAGGTAAGATATTTAGATGCTCATCTAATAAAGTATGTCGTCATTTTTGCGACATTATTGTAACAGCTACAGACTATTGGCCCTTATTCTTATTTATAGTCCTCTGTAATTAAAATATGCTTGTTATTACGGATTGTGTTACGAGAGGTTGTGTTTCACTCCCATTCACTAATAATATCTTGTAAGGAAGTCGGCTTTGAAAAATAGTACTTAAACCGTGGCTGCAATCTACGTCAAAAATCTACACATTTCGACCAATTCAAGCCTTGTGTTAATTGTTCTTCATAAAATATATTTCGTGACCCTACAAGGTACATATCTTAAGCAAGGCTTCGAAGATTAAGAGTTAGTCGGACTTGCTATTCTTTTCAATATTGCAGCAAACTCGGTCCGACTTCGCGTATCTCCCTATAAATACTCCGAGTTCTGCCATTAACCCCAGATTTAAGTTATCATGAATATTATAGAAATAATATCATTTGTCATATCAATCTTATTAAGTATGTCATCAACAACAAATAAAGCATCACAGGAGGTAGGAAAAGAACAAAAGCTTCTTGATCATCTTCTTTCCTTACCGGAAGACCAGCTTGCCTCGATAAGAGGAAACCCTGAAAAAGTTCTAGAGGCAATTGACAATTATCCAGCATCATTTATGACTATAGGCAAGAACAAAGGGAAGATCATTGTTGACAAGATGAACGAAGTTAAACCTATGACTATGATTGAACTCGGGTGTTACGTGGGGTACTCTGCAATTTTATTCGCAAATGAATTGCCACAAGAGCAAGGGTCCAAATATTACAGTTTTGAAGCAAACCCAGATTTCGCCAATATTGCTAGGCAGATAATTGACTTGGCAGGTTTATCGGATAAAGTTGAGATTATCGTGGGCAAAGCTGCTCAAACTTTGGTGGAGTTTAGGGATTCGTTCAAAAGAAAAGGATATTCATATTCTTCGCTAGACTTCATATTTATTGATCATGAAAAAAGCCTTTATGTTCCTGACCTCAGGGTTCTTGAATCGTTAAATTTAATTGCGCCTGGTACTGTTATAGCAGCTGACAACATTATCATGCCGGGGGCCCCAGACTATGTCGAATATGTACAATCATCGCCAGAAGAGAAGCGTGATTTTAACTACAGAGTGCCAAACGTTAACGGTAAAGAGTTTCTTGGAAGATGGAATATAATATACAAAACTGAAACTTTCCCTGCCATCACTTCCAAAGGACACAAGGATGCAGTTGAAATTACGGAATGTGTCGAATATCTCAATGGTTAGTCTTAGATTTGTTTTTTTTAAAAAGCTATTACTTTTAGTAAAATTTTATAATACTATTTTGATAGTTTAGTTATCCTTCTTGAATACACCACATGAGACACCTTACCGATGTTAACTAGTTTGTAGGAGACTGAACTTATAGTATATTGATATTGTACTGCATATACACCGCACCGTATATTTTTTCTATAAGCAATAAATCGCTGAAGGTTCCATACTTTTAGTAGTACTTAATTAGCACACAACGGTTGAACAATGTCTGACCTTACGCCTCTATTCAAGCAATGTGTCAGTATAGTCCAAGATAAATTTGGTGATTCTATTAAAGAAGATTATGATCTAAAACAATCTAGAAATAATGATTCTGAAGATCGCTATATCATTAAAGACACATTTATCAAAGAATGCATTGAATTTCACAAATTTTTGGGGAACTTGCAAGCATTTATAAATGAAATAAAATCTCCATACTTGTCAATTAGTGATGAATCTAGTTATGGGCAAGCGAACGATTCATTGAGTATTGATGATAAAAACAAAATAGACGAAGAATTACAGTTTAAAATTCAACAATTGTACGAAAAATTGAAGCTTTTACAAACATACGAACAAAAAAGACAATCTGCTTTTCCTAAGTCTCCCACTGGTTGGATCGGAAGTGTATTTGGCAGCGATGAACAAGATGATAAGGAACTCTTTCATACTACCATAAGTTCCCATAGAACGCAAATATTGAGATCCCTAAACGACCTAACTAACTATGTAAGCAAAAGCTTTGAATCTTTGCAAAGACAAAGATATGGAAGAGAAAAGCAAGTTAATTTACTTAATTTTCAAAACTTGGAAGAAGATATGGATTTGAATTATTACGAGTCTAACGGTGGAATGAGCTTAATGAATGAATCAGAACAGCTCGATGAACTGTGGGATATAAAACAAGATGATGACGTACAGAATCAGCAATTGACGCAAGAACAAATTCAAGAACTAGATTCTGAGAATCAAGAGTTCTTAAATTTGAAAACCAATCAATTAAAACAAGTTGAAAGCTTACATCATTCTATGATAGATATAGTAAATCTTCAAGCTGAGTTATCATACCAATTAGAAACTCAATCTGATCAAATAAACAATTTAATGGATAGTCAATCGCAAGTAGAAATTGACGTTAGGCTGGGAAACAGAAACTTGGACAAGGCTACGAATAGGAATAAGAAGGGCTCCAGTATCATAATATCTACGTGTATTACTTTTGGCGTATTGCTATTGTTTCTAGATTATATATCTTGATTGCATATATAATTTAATAAATAAATATCTATATAAGAATTTGAATCTTCAAATTCAAAAGTCGCTAATTATACCTGCACCTACAGTAACACCTTCCCTTCTAAGAACTACTCTGCCCAAAATTTTATTATCGCTGAATCTTGTAACAGGTAATAATCTATCACCTTGTACGGTAATCTCAACTGTTGCAGATTGTTTAGAAATCAAGTGCTTCTTCTTTTTCTTCGAGCCCTCAATTTCAATAATTTTCGAAATTCTAGCAGGAATATGAGAATTATTCCTAAATAAGACGAACGGAGTTCCAACTAATAGCGGTTTATTCATATTGAATAAATGTATTGAGGCAACAAAGCTTTTAACAGCTGTTATTGGAGAATCTAATTTCAGAATTAAGTCACCAATGTTCAAATCATCAGAAGTCTTATTGGTGAGTTGATTAATCTTGAAGCTCATCAGAACTATCTCACCGCTTATACCCACATTCACAGGTTTCTCGTGAATTGACATTGATTGAATTTGTAAAAATTCCTGATTAGGAGAAATAGAAACCGTTTCACCTGCTTGAATCATACCGGACGTTATTTTACCACTAACACCAAACTCGGAGCTCGAAATGCTGTAGATGTCATTAATGGACATATTGAAATCCTCTTTCGTTAATCTGGCTATCGAATCATCATCAAGTGCATGGTCAGGCAATTCAACACTTTCCAAATAGCTACTCAATGTAGGACCCGTATACCAGTTAAAATTTTTGAGAGAGGAATCTGTTTTAACAACATTATTCCCTGTCAATCCTGAAATAGGTATAAAGTCTATTTGGTCGCTTGAAAACCCAATATCTGAGCCAGTTAAAAATTCAGTCATTTGAAATTTGATCTCTTCGAACCTTCTTTCTGACCAGTCCTCCTTATCCATTTTATTTACTACTACGCATAATTTCGCAATTCCTAGATTTTTAGCAAGGATCGTATGTTCCTTTGTTTGCCCATCCATTGTAAATCCAGATTCGAATTCCCCAGTAATAGAGTCTATTACTAATAAAGCAAAGTCTGCTTGAGAAACACCACTTATCATTTGAGGAACAAAGTCTTTGTGTCCTGGAGCATCAATAGCGGTAAACCTGGAAGTTTCAGTTTCAAAATTAGTGGCACATATATCAACAGTAACTCCACGAGATCTTTCTTCACTCGTTTGGTCCATAATCCATGCAAGTGCAAATGAACCTTTGCCAATTTTCTCTGATTGTCTTACTAAGTTGTTGACTGTTTTCGCATCAATAACCCCCAAATCAAAAAGTAATCTACCCATTAATGTAGACTTTCCTGCATCAACATGTCCTATTACAACGAACGATTTATGGGGTTTTAAATAAGTCTTATACGTAGATAATTCCTGAGACAAGTCAATTTTCTTATAGGGTTGAGTCTTTTTTGGTGCCTGTCTTTCTGCAATTGTATCGACAGTTGATGAACTATTGTTTTTTTCCTCAGAAATCTTTAAATTTCCCATATTCTTCTCAAATGCATTCTTTTGGGCATTCATGACCTCATCATCTGGACTAGGCTCATCAAAATTAGATTTAACTTTCTTGGCAGTAGCTATATCTATTTCATTGTTAGTAAGTGGATGAAATAATTCGTCACTATGATGTCTTCTTTTAATTCTGTTTTCTAACAAATGATTTTCTACGTCCCCGTCTCGCCTTCTTTTATTGAACAAAAATAAAGAAACGGGAGTATTTGGAAATTTTAATAAAATTGAGTCATCATAAACAATATTAAAGCTCATTTTCGGTTCATGAAGTACTTTTTGCGGCACTTCGACATCTCCTACTTCAATCTCTTGAGGTTTATCTATGACTGGTTGCTTTTGTTCTCTGTCATGCCGTAATTTGTTTAAACGAGAAACAGGTCTAGCTTTAATACCACTTTTTTTAGACAAAGACAACCTTAAAGGAGTCTTCTCCGTATCCATCGCTGTTGAAGAACGCAATCTACCTAATATCGCAAGGGATTTATTCGACGAATTAGTTTGATCATTATTATTTTCTTCTTTCGTCTTTTGTCCACTTCTAGCTTTAGCTAAAGCAGCTAATCTGGAACTAGCGTTTGATTGATTTGTAGATGGAGCTACTAGTTTTGCATTGGCTCTTGATTTGGCTAACTGTGCCAACTTTGAACCGCTTCCAGCTGGTTTACTTTCAATGCCTGATTGTTGAGCACTTTCATCAACTGAGTCTGAAAATATTGTTTAGGATACTAGAACTCTTGTTAAAACTTCAATATACCATTTGTTTCAAGAAAAAGAGATATGGACAAATAGCATTTACTAGATGCTATTCAAAGTGACATGAAACTTGACAAACAAAAAAATCGGAAAATATACATACTTTTGGTCTTCTTCTTTGGATACTTAGATTTTAATTCTTTAATGGCTTCTTCTATTTCATAGTAGTTGAAATATAAGGCTTCTTTTAAATCTATCTCAAGTATCTCATCATTATAGTCTTTCATGCCTTCTTTCAACTTAGGAAGACATGCATATAATTTATCATATTCTTGGTCATCTAGATTATCTTCATTAAATTCTTCTTCCCCTGAATAGTTATCGTAGTCTGCTAGATCATCTTCATCGAAGTCAGCCATTGCAATCTATAATCTTTCAATATTTCAAAGTTAAAGCAGAGAAGACTTCAATGGCAATTTATCATTCCTATTTCGCTCTGAAAAATTCGTGCACCAAAACAATTATGGTTCCCATTAACTGTTGCAATCTTTCATTTATACGTTGAATACTTTTTTATAGTAAGATTTAATAAAATTCAATGTTTCCTTAATAACCTACATTTTTTCCTATAGTTCCATTTTTTTGTAGAATTTTGAAGGACATTTTGGTATATATTTCTGAATTTTTAGATTTTATTGAAATTTTTGCAATAATAGAAATTTCTTAGGAAAAGTTTAAAAGAATTAACATGATAAAGACAGATTTATATTGAATAGGGTGTATATTGATTAAATGTAATATCTATTATTCTACATTATATAAATTAACATTCAAAATTTCAACAATCGCCTTCCCAGCAGCAACAACGGATTCATCAGTATATCTTCTACCTGCAAGTTGCAAACCAATTGGAGCTCCTTTGAAAATTTCTGGATCATAATTGTTGCATTCTAGTTTTTCCAAGTCGCTTCTATACTTGTATTTTTGGTGATCGGGGTCCCAGACATCAAGCTTTGGATCTTGGAATATACCAGTTTGGAACGCTAAAGTTGGGAAATCCAATAAATTAAACAAGGCAGTGTAGGACCAATTATATACACATTCGGGTTGCGGTGCCACATTATTATAAGTAGGACATAAAATGAAGTCAATTTTATTTTCCACAAGATAAGTAGTGTATTCTTGTCTCAAAGAGTCTCTGATATCATTTAACTTACGATTTTCTGGTACCGAATACACCTTATCACCGTCACCATAATTCAAACACCACTTTGTCAATTTAGTTAATGGCTCACCTGAACCTTTTAACAATTCTCTTTGAAAGTAGTTTCCATCACAAGAATATAATTTATTAATTGTTTCGTAAGCTTCAGCGGTTCTAATTGGCTTGAATTCTACAACCTTTCCACCCGCTTTTGTAAGCTTCTGTACGACTTGCTTCATGGCCCGTTGAATAGGAGGAGTTGCTTTAACTAATCCATCATCATACATAACACCAATTGTAATATCTTTAAGATCTGGCTTCAGTACCTCTTTCCATGGTAATGGGATGCACCAGGCATCAAGTTCCCAAGGCTTTCCTTGATTAATGTAAGTTTTCATGTACAACTCAATATCATCAATTGATCTCGCCATAGGTCCAGAAACGGAAGGAACACTCTCTTGACCTATGTTACACGAAACACCACCACGAGTAGAAAGCCTACGAGTAGTAGGTCTTAAACCATGACATCCAGAATATGCAGCAGGAGCTCTAATTGATCCACCGATATCTGTGCCCACACCTAACGGGGATCCACCAAATCCTACAATCGAACCTTCACCTGAGGAGGATCCACCCGAAGATAATCCTAAGTTGTATGGGTTCCTTGAAAGTCCAATAAAATTATTATTGGAGTCCAAATGCATCAATGTTTGCGGTTGGTTTGTTCTCACATAGAAAACAGCTCCTAAGTTTTCTAAAACTTGAGTGGTAACACTGTGTTCTTCGGTGACGTTATCGATTTTAGAAACATAACTTCCATGGGTAACTCTACCTTTATAGCTCATTTGCTCTTTCAAAGACACAGGCAATCCGTGTAATGGGCCAATAGTTTTGCCATTCTTCTTGAAGTAGTCATCCAAGTATTTAGCTCTTTCCAACCCTTCTTCAGTGAACAACTCCAAGGCACAGTTGGTGAATTGATGGGCAATTACTGCTCTCTTAGCAAATGCATTGAATACCTCTACTGAAGTAAGTTGTCCCAGGGCAATTTTACCGACTAATGCAGATGCCGTGGAATCAGTGATTTCAAACTCCTTATCACTCAAAAGTTTAGCTTCATGTAAATACTTCAATGGATTAAAACCTTGTGATGCCAATGACTCGATAGTTCCTGGCAACTTGATTTTATACTCGGGAACAATTCCTTTCTCCAAAAGTTTTCTGTAATTTTCAACTTTTGGTTTCCATTCTTTTTCATACCTATCTAAATCTTCGTAAGTGTTAAGTGGATCGTTTATCAAAAATTGTTCAAATGATGCAGTCATTTTGTTCTATATCAAAATATCTTTAGTATAATTATCAATTTATAAAAGTCGCTATAAGAGAGTTGTTATAGGGGAATTGAAGTCTTGTTTGAATTACAAAGAAGAGAGCTGTATAGGCAGAAATACTGTCTAATATATACTGATAATGTATCCGGGTGGAATTTCCTAATCAGGTTATCCCCAATTATTGATAGCGTCAAATGTCATATCTTCTAAATTAGGCAAGTGACAACGCGTAACATTTAGGATGATTGCAAAATTATTTATATATTATATTAATACATAGCTAGTATAGTTAAAAATGAAAATTATAATTAAGATTCTATTCATTGCCAACCCAGATATCACCGTAATATGAGAAAAGATCTATCGATTTTTGATCAAATTCGATAAACTTACCGATCTGAGTATTATCACCACCGTCTGCAGTATGGCCACCAATAAGGGAATAACTGCACCATAAATAGGAGTTACAGTACCCTTTATCCATGAACCAGGCTTCCTTTGGTTCCCCATCAGTATTTTCACATAAAGTCTCTAATTTGTTTTTGAAAGGGGGAATAATGGCATGCTTAAGAATGATTGGGTTCTTGAAGAAAATCTTCATTTCTTCGATTGACTTCAAAAACTTAACACGTGTATGAAATTGGAATTCCTTTTCGTAGTCTACATCGGGAGCTTGTCCACAGAATTGGAAACCAGAATTGAACCATAATAATGTCTTGCCGTCCTCACCGTTGATATGACCTGGGTGAGCCGAACATATTTCTTTTGATTTTAATGGTTTTCCTTCCAAGCCGACTCTATCTTCCATTGGAGTTTCTACACCAATGGCGGCTGCATGGAATCTATTAAACTCAAAACCTTCATCCCCGTTTATAGCAAATGCTAACCAAAAGATTTCCTTGTCTCCATAGACTCTTGAAGTGACTGGATTCATGAAATTTAATTGCATCATCATTAGTATGGAGTTGAAGTGTAAGTTTCTATCAATTACGACTAATCCACTTTCCATGAAATGCCCCATACCATCAAAAAATGACAAATCTAATGTATGACTAGTGACAATAGGAATGTTAAACATTGCTTGATCAATGATTGATGGGGTCATCTTTTCAAAGAATTTGGTGTCTCCCAGTGGTCTAAATTCTGGAGCTGTTCTATCTTTGTAGAAATAAGCTCCTCTTTTCTTATAACCCATTAGGTTAAAGAAATATTCCGGAGTTTGAAGCAATACAGTGTCGGCATCAACAAGTATGTACTCCTCAAAAGAATTGAACAAAGCTGCTAAGAATTTATTGGCAAACTTATCAAACTTTTCCTTGTAATGGTCATGTATAACATTTTGAACGTTAACGAACCAAACCTCTTGCTTTGGTAAGCCATGATCGGAATCATCAAAGTAATCATCTGGTAAATAATGGGCAATCTTTTTAAATGAGCTAGGTAAGTCAATGAATCTTTGCCTTGCAGCGGTTACAATACGACTCTTAGATTCTTCTGAGATACCTCCGTTGTAAACAATTTGAATTGGGAACTTGTTGTTCAAAGCTCTTAATAAATGAATTAATTTTACTGTATCGGTGACATGTTTATCTCCTATAGATAAAACGATACCTTTTCCATTCATTTTATTTTTAAATCTCTGTAAAAAGCATGCCTTGCTGTTTGTCAATTTTGATTGGATTTTGCCAGCTTTACCTCTAGCATCACGTACTTTTTGATTAGTAGGCTTGAAAACTTCCGGATGGTAAACATATTTACTTAAATCAGGTGGAGTTAAAACGATTTCACCCGTGAATCTCTCATAAATAGGAAATGAAAGTGAAAGCCATTTATATATCCTTGATTCTAAATCAGTGCATGATTCAAAGCTATCCGTGTTTAGAAGCGATTCTTTAGCCGTCATTTTAAACTTTCTTTTTCCATCTTTGATCAAATCCTTTTCGCTCAAAGACTTGATCATTTTGCTTTGATCAGCTGTTAATTTCTTTGCCTGTGAAGCTTCGTTTTGGTTATCGGATGTTAAGTAACACTTGTTAAATATTCTGACATGTGAAATATAATCCGTCATCTTCTGTTCTGTTTGCATAGTCTTTTTCCAGAAGGCATCATACTTAGCTTTGACAAGATCCTCAACAACTCTATCTTCAACTAATTTAGAGTCAATCCCTTTTTCTTTGGCATACGCATCCTTCACCTCATTAAGCTTGTTATTCCTAAACAGCTCGTAGCTATATTCATATCTATTCTCCAATTGAAAATCCTTATTAGGATCAATGTACCAATTCATGTCTGTAGTGAATAAATTCTTGAAGTATAAGTCACATCTTTCGTTGAATGGCAAGTCTTTCAACATGCTATTAATGCCGTGGTTTCGCAACATCAAGTCATAAGTACTAGAGTGAGAATCTATAGATCTTACGTCTTTAATATTGTTGGTCTTCATAAAGTATTTGATTGTATCATAATCCAAGATATTTTCCTTATTATTGTTATCAAAGTTATTATTAAATGACAAATTATTCACTGTGTCATAAATAGACCCTGTTACGGTCTTAAATGCATGTTGGTGTTTGTAATCATGAATCCATAAGTTGATAATTACAATCCATAATAAAAGAATGCTAAATACTATAGCCTTTCTTTTGGACCTTGATGTCTGCAATAACGGTGAAATTAAGCCCTCGAGTCCCATATTATAAGAATTTAGTGGAACCAATTAAATCACAAGACTTTTTAAAACGAATGAAACAATGTTGAATGATAAGCCAAGCTGAATAAATATCTGGCTTGTTGATGCAAGTTACAAGAATAAAAATCTTAGTTACCTAAAAATCAACTTAAGAAAACGAAAGGAAAATGCTACCTAATTTTCAAAATAAGTTATAGGCGATGCTTAATATTTAAATACGCTACGAGACCAGTAAAGATATAGCCAAATAATACTATAGCTGGCCACGTTACTCAATAAATTTACACAATAGTCAATAACCGTACTTCATCGTACTATTATTTATAGCCTGAAGCAAGCTTGCAGCAACGTGGGCATCGTTATCTTGATTAAGTAAGCAAACATATATTTATCCGTGTACTATTTTAGTAGACATGCGACCTCTATTCGGTTGTGAGTCTCAACAATTTTGACTTTCAGGGCCATGAAAAGCATAAACAGTAAAAAATGGAAAAGGGTAGATCGAACCACATTGCGCTGCGTTTGATAATAGCTTTGTGATTGAGTAAGTATTTGACAGTCTTAAATAATAGGAAACGTAAGTGCGAGAATATTTCTTCATGTTTCAGTAAGAGGACATACTATAATTCAAGCTAATCTTCGTACATGTAAACCGAGTTTAAGGGATATTAGGCATATCGTTAAACGGCGATTGATGAAAATTTTGTAGAGAATTACGTATTCGAGAAAAATTTCGGTCATAATTTAGTTGAAAAGAAGAAGGATACAGAGCAAGCCATACGCAGCACCAACACAGATTGAATGAGAGTTACTATTGTACAAAGATACCGAAAGAAAATAGAAGATAAAGAGTGTCTGTCAAATCTGTCGCACAAAAGATGCACGCAAGTCCAATCTTCTGAAAAAAAATAAAAAAAAGAAAACGACCTCGGTGAGGGTCGAACTCACGATCTTGAGATTAACAGTCTCACGCCTTAGCCAACTTGGCCACGAAGTCTTATTTCTGGGCAAGAAATTTTGGTCCAACGTATCATGCTCGTCAACATTTTAATTATTGTATTTCAAACTACCTCAAGGCAGATTCATAACTAAAGACTTGCAAGAACTTTATCCTTATAATTGGGCTAAATATTAGGTGTTAGCTCTTGGAATTACTGCCACATACAGGACGCGTCTTGTAACAGTTGCTTTAGTACCTGCTGTGAGATGAGATGGGGCGTTCTTGGGGCAAGTTGAGCTTGTGCCGCACGCCTGATCCAGTAACAATAGGGTCTTTCCAGAACCACACAAGGATTACTTTGTATAGATAATTCGCCCACACCTTTTTATTAGCCTACCACTCACTTTCATCATACTTTCGCTACCTTTAGTTCACTCGCCACTTCCTCATGCGAGACTTCAAATGAATATATGAATAGATAGGGTGATATACCTCGGGTTGCTTCAACTATGCCGTGGTCTGATATCGGGTTTGTTCTTTCACCACCTGTAAACCTTATTTTGCATAAAAATATTTCTACATTTAGAATCAGTGTGAAAGGGCTATTGTCTTGTTGCGAGATAAAGTTTTACACAAATTTATTTCACGCATAAATACGGGAGACTGGCTACTACCGATTTGACCCGGTACTACACCTCATGGAGCTATACTAAACGAATGTTTGATTGAAAACCAAAGAATTAAATCCAATAGTACTAGTGTAAAAATAAATAAATAATAAATAATAAATAATAAATAACGGCATACTCAGTACACCTCTATCAAAAGTGCTAATAAAAAAATAGCACTTGTAAATACTTGCAGATATAACAATCAATTCACCGACCTGCGACTTAGAATTAAAGAAAATTAATCTTTCATGTGCTTAATCTTCCTTCCGCACTTTAACTAACCTAGAAATGAACATTTGATGGAAGTTTCTGGTCATATCCATTTGCTTGTCTTCAAAAAATTTGATCGACCAGTGGATAGACTTGATCTTAAACTCTTTCAAAGCTTTGAGGTACTTATCGTTTTCTAGTAATATCAGCTTGCTGTTTCCACTTCTGGCACTCTTCAATGTGTAGTTCAAGCTTACACTAACTATGTAAGTCATCGCGTCCATTATACCAACTAATAAAAGTGGGACAACGATGAGGAGTAATAGAGAATTACTCACTAGAGTAACTTTGCTTTCTATGAGTTCCAAATACTGAATCATGTTTCCCAGCTTGCAGGCAATAGCAATAGGGTTCAGTATCAGAATTTGAAATTACGGATAGATACAGTTATTTATATTAATCTGAATCCCTTCCAATAACCCGATAATGCGTTACATATTACCCGGACATGTGAACTTAATTTCTTGTTCGGTATCCCGGATAGAAGAAAGTTTTTTTTTATGTGGTTGACAAGCTTTATACTATAAAGTTTACAAGAAGTACATTAGGTTACAGAGATGTTCTTATTCTAGATTCTCAGCAATATATTCATCAGTTAAGGTATATTCTAATGACGACTTATTATGAACTGGATGATTTATCTGTATGTATATTATATGATGAGTTAAATGAATCAACCTTATCTACATTATCTGAGTTAAAGAAGATACAATTCATATTATTCTGATAGTCATACTAACATTTTGGGAGCAAGCAGGTTATATTATGCAAGGTAAAGGTCTTATGTGTCGAAACACCTGTAGAAATGGAATTTCCACCACAAGCTGAAGATAAGCCTTAAAACCTTTCCTGCGTAAAATTTTTATAGCCACCAGTGTGTTCTAATGTGGCACATATAATTGATAACACGGGGTGCAATTCAGCGGTTACTGGTGATTCTATCGCTGGGTGTGTGTGTGTTTTATTTAGCAAGAAGCCCCGTGCGACTTTCCTGTTAGGGGCTATCTGTGCTTCTTCGCCTGATTACGGAACCATCCCTCTTGCAGATGGGAGATCAGCATGGATAGTGGGCCATAGATCAGTAACGATGGTGCAAGTGACGTAAAACGTAATTACGCTGTAGGTAGCTAAACAATTAGCTTATCTAACCTATGTATGAGGGTGCGCAGGTACAAATTGTGAATACACTTATGGATACCTCCCCAACATCGACACGACTTAGAGCCCTAGGTAGAGGCGTATTGTTGTTTGTAACACTCTATTATGTACTTGCTTTGGCTAGGGACTGGATTGTTAGATGACATCGTAAACAATTAAATAATTGCTTTTTATAAGAGTATTAATAACAAAGGCATAAGGTTGGATACATGTTCGAAACAATATTTCAAGAGTTGCTAGTTACATACTTACAGTCCTGAGGTAGTATGCCTTGTGGTTTATCTTGATGATGCAATCTAAAGGACTGACTAAGAGGCTATAATCTTGGCTGCTACGGGAAGTGCATGTTTTGTGTGATTCTTAGTCGGGAATTTTCGCAATTTAAGGTTTTTTTAGATCGATCAAGCTACTTTAGGACACTAAAGAAATCATATTATTAACACTTTTTAGGATTCTAGCCACAGTAAAATATCTTTCATGAACAACTTAATAACATGCAACTAACCGAGTAACGGATATGTAATACAAGCATGCAGCAACTTTAAGGAAATACTTGATTTGATTAGAAATCAATTCGTACATGTAGATTGATATGATTCATGAAAAATATATATTGAAGCGCAAATAATCACTATCAAGATTGGCAGCCTGGCTAGCTCAATCGGTAGAGC